ATGCTGCGCAGCTCTGAGGGGTGTCACACACAAGCATCGTAGTCTGCACTGAAGCCTGTGGACACTGCTGTGCCGCAGCAAAGCTTCACTAACAGAACAGGCAGAGCTTGCTAACTCCTCTCTACAGGACCTGAGTTGGACCAGACAATTAACAGAGGATTTTCTGTCCTTTGGAAAAAACAAGGTTCAGTCACCTCTGGCCATTTCTGTGATGTGCTAAAGTCTGGTCCCCAAAGCAAATTCTTGTAGACAGTCAGGGCTTTCAAACCATTGCCAGCCTCTTCTTAAAGGTGGTTTGTTGATTCTCGTCAAATATGAATGAAGACAGGAGGCAGACTCAGATGGTCAAGTAGGATGATGCAGTGGTAACATCATAGGCTTTCTTTACGTAATTTTTTTTTTTTTACCGTTTAATTGAAAAGGAAAAAAACCAAATGCTGGATCAAGAGACTGACTTCCTATAGAAACACCTGTGGGCGTCCCTGTCCCTCTAGATATTCGGGGTGCTTCCTATGGTAGCCTTCAGTGGGCCTCTGGCTCAGCTCCTGTGGGGCATATTGTCTTGTGTTCCCCAAGTAACAGGCAGTACAAATGAAAAGAAAATTATCTATGGAGCTAGTAAATCTTGATAGAAATCAATATACAAGGGAAATTTATATGTTGATTTCTAAGAGCACAGAACCTGTTTTTTATTTAGAAAAATATTTCAAAGAAGGAATCCTTAGGTTCCCTGGAATCACCATTGTCATTTCTACTAGGGTGATTGGCGTTTAGGTTTGCTTTGGCTTCAGATAGAGTCACGAGAGATTAATGATTTGCTCAGTACTCTGCCTCCTGCCCAAGCTAGTGAGATATGTTTTCTTAACACTGTTTCTGGTGACATGAAAATGGAATAGGAGCTAAAGTCATTTTTAAAGTGCCATCTGCAATAAACAACAATAAGGGAGGAAACATCCAGCCAACACCCTCTTGGCACTATGCTCCGAGCAGGCAGGGAGTACTCTGATTGTCCTGTTCAGACCTCACTCAGTCTTTCACAGTATTCACTGACTGCCTCTGCTGCACCAGACAGTGGTGTCTGATCAAGGCAGAAAAGGTCCTGCCAATACCGGACTTGACTGTTTTGGTGGAGGGAAAGGAGACAGACGATGAGACCCTGAGGAGGGCCGTTTCAGATGGCTGAGGTCTGGTCCTGACGGGGTGGGGGTGGGGGGTCATCCAGGTGTTGTGAATGTGGCCAAGATCGGGAGGAGTCTGCACTGGAAGCCGTGGGGCAGTGAGCTCTCCAGGGAGAGGAATAACAAATGCAAAGGCTTCAGGGCAGAGGTGAGCTTGTGTATTTGCAGTTTGTGGTGAGTATAAGCCAGGAAGCAGGGAAAAGAATTTAAACCGAAACAGTGTTAAGTTAGTGTTGATGGCAGCAGCAGTGGACAGAGAGAGAAGAAAGCTGGGCCATCTCTCCAGCCAGACGTGAGGTCGCAAGCAGGGCCGACCAGTCAGGTACCTGACCCAGCCAGACCGCTTGGCGGAGGGAAGGAGGTCAGCCAGTCCAGGAGCTGAGGGCATTGAGCAAATCCACTCAGGCTCCCTGAACCTGAGAGCCCTCCTTTGCACGGTGAGAATCAGGATGCTCCCTGGAGTAACACAGCCAGGGGGAGGACAGCAGAGGTACCCTGGGGCCGGCGATGGTTGCTAGGTACCAAAACAGCGCCAGGCTATGTAGAGGAGCCAGGCAGGCTACGTAGAGGCGCTCCACAGATCAAGGTTGCTGTTGTCACTTTGTTAGTAGAGGGCTTGGTAATATGGATGCTGCTTTTTCTTTAGATATTATTGGGTGTACAGAATGGCAAGAATACTTGAGCCTAGATGGAAATGAACACAATTCAAATGAAGGCCAAGCATGTCACCTTCTGTGTTATCTACCCTAGTCCTCCTCCAGCTACACAAAGAAGAGAGGAGGTGGGTTAGAGGTGCTGATGGTGATCACCCCGGGTCTCCTCGAGAATCTAGAAACTGAGTTGAGGCATGGCTTATCCCCTTGGCTTAGTGCTTATCTCCCTGGTTTTGATTTTTGTTTGGGGGATTGTGGGATTTGGGGTTGGTTGGGTTGGGTTGGGTTCTTTGTTTGTGTGTGTGCAGTACGTGCTAGGCAGACACTCTAGGCGCTGAGCCCCATCCCCAGCCCGTCACTGCTCTTCCTGCCAGGGGCTGTACCTTCAGGGCACTTTCTGCCTGGGCACCTCTCGGTGGGTTCTGGGAGCTGTCATCCTTCCTATCCTGTATCAGAGTCTGTAATGCACACACTCTCCTGCCCTATCAGACACAAGCCTTCTAGGCATCCAGTGTTTGTATTTTCCCTTCTGTACTTTCAGGAAGGAAACTGAGGCTTGTTAATTCTTGCTGCCTTCAAAGATAGATTTTTTAAAAAGTACTCACTCCTCTCACTTTTTTCCTCTCATCAGTAAGCTGGCTGCTATCACATCTTTTCTCCAAAGGCATGAGAAAGCCCTTTGTTTAGAAGAATGTGCCTTGAATTTCTATAACCTTACTGCTCTAAATCCTGGGGCCTCACACTTAACCATGCTGAACTCTGACTCCATAGTTACCAGCTGAGACACTGGTGCTGTGGGCGGGCCGGAGGGGAGCTTACTTTGGAAACAAGCAGAGTTGGTCCAGGGCAGGTGTTCCTGGCACACTTTGGTCCTTGGAAGGAGAGACCCTTTCCCTGAGCTGAAGCTTTTTAAATTACACTAGAATCCAGATGGGAAATTTGTGTCAATTTGGATTTCATTTCAGCGCTGATGTCCTTCACCTTTAGAATGCAGATTCTGTGGGTGTCTGGGAGAGTTTCAGGGATCAGAGAAACTTACCAGCTCTAGCACCCTTCAGAGATCTAAAGAAAGTTGTGAGTCCATGCACATTTTTCTTTTTTGGAACCAGGGATTGAACTCAGGCACTTGCACTTGCCAGGCAAGCACTTATTCTACTGAGCTATCTCCCCAGCCCCATTTTTTTCTGAATGGTTATCAGATTCCCAAACATAGCATGATTCAAAACAAATTAAGAATGTTCCCCTGGGCCAGCCTCCAACCTTGTCGAAGGGACCACAGGCCTAACCCACACAAGTCTACACTGCGAGCCACCCCTGCGGTGTAAAGGAGTTCTCCATGGATTAATTTGTATGCAGTCCTTACAGCTCTCTTAGGATGTGAGTTCCACTAGTATGCCCATTTCACAGGTGAACAAACTGAAGAACAAAGACAAGACCCCCAAGCAAGGGCAAACTGCGAATACATATCAGTCACAAAAGCGGGAAAAACATAAAGCTGGGGGGGAAAATAAGCCATCAGGTACAGAAGCCAGTGTAAGAATTTTCATAACAGACAAGCATCAAAAAATAGCCTTCAGGGGCTGGAGAGATGGCTCAGTGGTCTAAAGCACCTACTTGAAACAAGCTTGGCAAAGCACAGGGACTGCGGTTCAATCCCCAGCACCACATGCCAGCCAGACCCGCCCCCTGGTGGGCTGAGCTGGCCACACACACACACACACAATAAATAAATGTAATAAATAAATATAAAAAAAAATAGCCTTCAGCCACGTATAATGGCTCAATCCTGTTAACCCAGAACTCTGGGAGGTTGAGACACGAAGATCACAAGTTCAGACATCTCTTGGGCAATTTAGCAACTTAGAGAGACCCTGTCTATAAGTAAAACATTTTTTAAAAGGCCCAGGAATATAGCTCATTGTAAAAGACTGGATTCAATCCCACCACCCCCAAAACAGCACCACACATCACAGAGGTCTGCAGAAGTCACTGTGAGCCAGGCAGGGCACTGGAGAGGCCTTGCCTGTGTACTCAGTGTGGGAAGTGGCTGATGCACGCTGCCTGAGAGGTAGGTGGCCAGCCAGGGAGGAGGAGATTGTGGTGTCCTCTCCCAGAAAGGTGGGAGAGACACTGTTGTGCTGGAGCATGCACCTTTGCCATTGTTGTATCTTAGGAATTACCTATTGTTTGATGCCGGGTTAGCTGCCAGGTAATTCTGTTATCTCCGGCTTATATGCAGGAAAACGTTGCTGGTTACTCCTTCATTCACTTTCCTAAGAAGCAGCTGAGAGCATGCTGATCAGGCGGGCTTGGGATGTGCAGCGCCAGAGGAATTAATCTTGGGGTTTAATTCTTTCCACTGGCATCTTGCACAGAGAGAAGGGAGTGAGCTTGTGCCCGACTCTAAATTTAACCTCTGCTCACAGAATGGCTTGTCTCGTGCAGAAGCCCCACTTTGGGCTGATGGTTTTCTTTTTTCCAGAAAACTTATGAAGTGTTAAATTAGGCAGAACAGTTGCCGCTGTCCATAACCCTTGTGGATTTTTGAATATTTCAGAAATCCTCTGAACCCCCTCTTGTTGGCTGGTTTTTACCTCACACTTAAATCAAGCAGTTCTGTTAACCCCCAAAGAATTAACAGGGTTCAGAGCTTCCAAGTTCTTCCTTCAGGGCCGCATATTAGTTACTTCCTTATGTGATTAAGGAACCTGACAATGTGATTGGCAGTGGGGCTAATATAAAATATCCCAGGCAACAGTCATAATTATACTCAAAAGAAAAATTGTATTCTCAGGCCTTTAGATTCAGGATTATTGGGCTGTTTTTATCATACATTAGACATAAGTATTTCGTTAGGAGTAAGAAAAGATTTGGCATACACCAAGAGTTTTTCAAGGAACCCTGCCTGCTTGTTTTCAGTGTTGTCGACAATCTGAATGGTAAGAGGTAGCTCAAGCCTGTCATGAACTCAGAAGGCCCAGGCTCTGTGACCTGCTTAGAGGCCGCAGCTGTGTGCTTGACCTGGGGCGGAAGCCAGGCCCTTGCACCCTTTGCTGTCAAACTAGGTTGCTGCCAGGGGCCGACCTCCAGGATGAGGCCCAGGAAATGCAGACGACCCTAAGCTGGAGGCAACTCCATATCCTCCTGTGGGGGTGGTGCCCAGCACGAGAGAGAGGTTACCGCCCCTTCCCTGGGTGACAGACGCTCCCCACAGAATCTGTCACCTGAGGCATGTGGGTGAAGGCTCACACCATGCAGGTCACTGCTGCTGTGCTTGCACCTGTCGTACAGTGACCCTGAGCCAGTGTCTTTGCTCTCACTACTAGCTCAGTATGCCTGGCACATAGAGGAGCCCCAGAAATGGACAACAGAGTAAGCAAGGAGAAGGTAGGCGCCCAGCCCAGAGGAGCACAGGCCGGGTTCGCCTCCCCTTTCCCGTGGTGCTTCGCCAGGAGCAGGGACTCTTGTTCCTCTATGTGCCAAGTTCTTTGCCCAAGACTTCTTGAGCCCTGCCTTGTGCACCTGTGCATAGGGACTTTCTGGGTTTGTCATTTGAGGGACAAATCATTAGAGGACTGCATGGTTGTGTAGAAGTGTGAGGCACCTATCAGATATACATGAAGAAAGAGCAGAATTAAGGTCCTACAGCCTGTCATCAGCCCATATTTACCAATGTTAGCTGCGCAACTTTAACCAAATTCCTCAACCTCTCTGAACTTGTCTCCTCATCTGTCAGCGACACCAGTAATATTGGCCCAGCAGTAATACTGCTATATGAGGGCATACAGAGTCAGAGCTCAATAAATCAGATTGTTAACCTGAGAGAGCTATCACATGCTATAATCCCAGCATATAGTAAAAAGTACATGCTCCACCTTGTGCTGACTTTCACTTGAGACTGTATAACTGCAGTTTGGGCTTTGGGCTCTTCCTCCTGTGTCACAGTGTGTCATGGGCACTAGCCTGTGTCCAGGTGCACAGCTCAGCCCTTCTGCTTCACGGCTCACTGTCTGGTGTGCAGGGTGCTCACACAGTGATGTTAGCTGTTAGCCCCATGGGCCCTGCTGGCCGCCGGATGACCCCACTGGCAGGGACAGCAGGGGACAGTCTCTGTGACTGTGGATTTCTTCTGGTCTTGGCTATCTGGCCTGCACTCGCACCTCTGCCACCCAGCCTGTATATGACGCATGTGTGTCACTCCTCTGGGGTATCTACCCTTGGGCCCTTTTCAGTTGACTGGGACAAGACTAGAAGAGAATGGTGACAACTGTAGGGCAGGGATTAAAAGCCTCCATCAATGATTCCGGCAGCTCGAGGCAGCTCTGGGGATGGAGCCAAAATGTGCCACCTCCGAACCCCAGGCTGCCCTCCATGCCTCTCCTCTCCTCCCTGGGCTTCTCTGTCCTCTCCCTGTGGCCCGAGGCCTGCTGGAGCTCACCCTTCCTACCTCCACCCTTGTCCTGCTCCGTCTCCCTGCTGCTGCCCTGAGCATATTGTGCAAGTACCTGCGTTTCCACATTGTGGCTCTGCTAGAATGTCAGAGCCTTGTAAATGAGGCTGGGCTGTGCCCTTGATGCTGTATGGTTTTTATCAGGAGCAGGTAGAGGTGGAACGTGAAGATAAGTTCTCTGCCAGTGTTTACTGCAGTTTCTTGCATTTGCCTCTGATATTTTAAGCTTGATGACCTCCCCCAGGGTGTTTCAGCTGGAATCTCTTGGCTTCATCCTAACATGGCTCAAAATACCCACACTCTTTTGGGGGATAGAGTTCAGCTAAAAATAAACTCCGGAGGGCTATTAATTGCTGCAAGGTTGGGAATAAGATGGACTGTCAGGGTTCAGAGTTGCTGTGTTATTTGCCGGATGCAGTGTGAATGCTAACGTGTTGTTTCTGTTCTGTTCCCTCATGCCTTCCCGGACTCAGAGAGAGGTAACCAGCCGATTTTCCCTTCTCCCCTTTGTGGTGTCCTCGTGCCTGGCAAAGCTCACTTGCTTCCTCCGTACGCATCACCATCCTCACAGCCGTCCTTGCCTGGGACAGGCAGAACTGTGTCTTGTGTTGTTTAACCATTTGTGTCCATCATTTACAACAGAGCCTGGAGGTACATCTGGGGCCCTCATCCTCTGCTGGGTGTGGACTGATTTGGGGACAGTTAAGTATAGTAGCAACGTGGTTACTTGGTGATTGCTAACAACTGAAAATCCCGGTCAGCATGCTAGGGAGTAAGTGGATGGAGATGCTTGGGCTCCGTAGCATGCTGTACAGGGAGTATTTTTGTGCTCCTCGCAGAGTCAATATTAGTGCATATGTATTCTAGAGTTCTGAGGGAATGCTTGACATTAGCCTGCTAGCCAGAAGCACTAGCTAATAATCGATTTCATTATCAATTATTAGCCAAAATATGTGGATCTCTGCTCTTTTGCTACCCAGGAGAAAGCACTGTGGAGACCATGGAAGCATGACCTGAGCCGTAGTTAGACCTCAGGTGCCTTTTTCCTGTGCTCTGAATGTCCGCATGCCCATTGGATATTTGGAAGCTTTAAGCTCCACTATTCGGTAGCTCCATTTAAAAAAAAAAAAAAAAAAAAAAAATCCATTTGTGCAAAGGAATAAGGGCATTTTGAGATTATCTCCTTGAAAAATGTCTGGGCAAAGTGCAGAGACTCAGCCAGTGTGCTCGTTGTGTGCGCCTGGCTCCCAGGTGAGCGCTGTGGCTGGCCGGGAGCTGGGAATTGACGGCGGGTCTTCGGCCTGCCAGTGTGTACTGCAGTGCTTGGAGCCAAGCGCCGCCCTGGCCAGCCAGGCTGGCAGCCATTCCTCATCCTGGCCACGAGTTGAGGAATATTGGGACAGTTAAGTATAGTAGCAACGTGGTTAGTGCTGGGCGTTTGGAAGAAGAAGTCAGCGTGGCCCAGTGAGACACACGCCCAAGATGGGCCTTCTGGGGTGTGAGTAGAACTTAGGCCTTTTCAGGAGGCCGTAGCACAGGTCGTGGCTCTGCGGGACCAGCGCTGAGTGTGGGTCCCGAGCACTCTCACCTGAAGGCCCACCGGGTCCTGCCAGAGTCCGCGGTGAGGTTTGCAGGTTCTTCGTTACTCCCTCTCCTCAGTGAACTCGGGTCTGCTCACAGGGAAGCAGCTGCCCTGAATGCTAACAGCGAGCGCTCTCCGCTAGAGAAGGTCTGCCCACCTGCGCTAATTACAGGTGATCCCATTGCAAATCTGCCACAGTCAGTGCCTCTCCCGGAAGTGCCCACCGAGGAATCCCTGGTGAAGGTGTGTGCCTCCAGGTGCCAAGCTGCTGGGATGCCACGCAGAGCTCGGCCTCCAGCCTGTAAGAGGAAGAGAAGGGCTACGTGCTGAGGAAGCAAGATTAGGGGTACTCACGTGTGATGCCTGTGACAGCGAGGGAAATGCACGGGAAAAACACCTCCGAACACCGACATTCTGGATTGGCCCCGCAGGAAGATGAGCTGCCTAGTGCCCTTCCTCCCTCTTCCCTGTCCCTCTGTTTCTCTACAAGCTTGTCAAGGTATAATCCAGAAACAAGAACAGAGTCTTGGAAACAGGACTCATTTTTCTCCCAGGCTTTGCATAACTTATTACCACATTTGGGTCCAACCCTGGAGCCCTGTAATTACACTGGGTCCTCCTGTGGGCCACCTTTTCAAGTCCCACATGGAATCCCACACTGGGCCCTGCAGGTGAGACCACAAGGAAAGAGAGCCCGGTGTGAGAAAGAGCTAGAAGCGTCCCTTGGCTGCTTTTTTGTCCTTGTTCGCAGGTGGGCCCTTCACACTGTGCTGGTAACAACTCTGGAGGCTTACAGTTTTCCCCCGGCAGGCAAGCTGGGAAGGAAGGCGGACTGGGACCAGTTCAGGAGGCCCCGTGCACTTTAAACCAGCATGCACTTTAAACCAGCGCAGACCCTCTAGAACATCCCTCATGGATAAGGAGACAGTGTTTCAAAGTGTTTTCTCTTGCAGTCCTTTTCCCCTGAAATCACCACCATTTGTCAGATGCCTATCCTAGGCCACCCTTCAGATTCCCCACATGAAAGCATGTATTTGACCTGAACAAATGTGACTTATGTGACAGGTGTTACCCCGGGGTGCAGGCTGTGTAAGAAATAGTGACAGAGGCCCTGAGGAGAGAGCGGATGGAGAGGGAGCTAACAGGCTGGGCGGAAGGAGGGTCATCCAGTTACGTGGGCTGTTGTGTAGCTGATAAGGTCAGCTTGTTCTCACAAGGAAGCAAAACTAGATCTCTGCAGCTATGGTCGCAGGGAGGCAAGTTTCAATTTCTCATTAAGAAAAAAACAAACAAAAAAATATGTATATATGTATGTATGTTGCTTCACTGGGAGCCTTCCTGCAACAGGACAGGCTGATATAGGAAGGAAATAAGACTTCAGAGCCTGCCTATTCTGGCTATTCTAGGTGTTGGGGCTGTGGAAGCAGGGACTTTGAATAGTCAGCCTGTGTGACCGCCATGAGGTGTGCAGCCCCCTGCTAAAGTGGAGGGAGAAGTAAACCCACAAGCAAATTCCAGTACCCTACACGGCAAAGGGGAGATTTAGGGAAAGGATGGATTATTCTGTCTTAGCTTATTTTTCCCCTTCTAGAATCCATTTGAAAAAAAAAAAACTTGTTTATTCATTCACTCCATTCAGATGGATCAAACCCCTACAGGGAGATTAGAATGCTGTAGAATTGAGAAAAATAAAGGCAATCTTTGGTCCTTTGCCATTAAGAAATTTGTGGCTGTCAAAGATGTCTTCTTGCTGACATTTTTATGCAGCAGAACTTAAGGCTGGTCCTCTGGGGGAGTAATTACAGGAAAAAATAGAAAAAGGATAAGAACAAAAAAAAAAAAAAAAAGGTGGAACCCGAAGAGCTCAGTAATCAGATGTGGAGAGGTAGCTGGCTCCTGGTCTAGCCCCTAGGAGTGGTTTAAGGAGGAGACCTAAGAAGCGACAGTGAGTGGCAAAGCTTCTGGGTCCTTGTCTGGGAAGGAAAATGCGTGAATGTCATCACTGCAGGGAGCAGAGTGAGACTCCCTGTGGTCCAGTATGTCACTTCGCAGATGGCTCCTGGCCCTGTGTTACACATACTGTGAGGTCAAACAAAGGACAAAAATGACTCCTGTTGCTGAGGGTCAGATGGAGCACTTCAGACAGGTGTCTAGAGAATTGTGGAAAATAGGAACCATGTTCTGACAGGGGCTTGGCAACCCCATAGGCCTACTGTGTGGTTTTGTGGGTGAGGTCTTTGGTCCCTGGAGGATGCCTGGCTGTGTGGGACCTGGTCATCAGGGAGGGGCAGAGAAGGCCATCTCTCCAAGCTGGGACACTCAGCTCTGTGGAAGCCAGGACTGCTCTCACAAGAGGAGAGAGGTGGGGGGGCAGGGAGCCCCAGTGAAGGTTCCCAACATGTCCCTGCATTTCCCTGGCCAGCCTCTGCTCTCAAGATGGTGCCAGAGCCTCTGTGCGCCCTGCATGGCTAGTGCCTGCGTGGTCCCTCAGCCCAAGGAACTCTCCCCTCCTCCCAGAAGCACCCTTTCCTTGATGGCTTTGGACTCCTCCATGTTCTCATTGGCCCTTCTACCTCAGAGAGGCCTTTAAATGTCCGTCTTCCTCAGGCCCCAGCCTGGTGTAGCCTTCCTTCATCCCTGACTTTAGCCCAAATCTATGTCTCCTTCACAGTCTCCAGGCCTGAGCTCAGGGACCAAGTGGCCCCCTGCCCACCTGCGTGGGTGGCTTCCTCCTTGTGGCCTCTAGTCCCTCAATTTACTTGTGCCCCTCCCCCACCCTGGTCAGCGGGGCGCTCTGTTGACCTAGCAAGGACTCCGGGGTTGTTCTCAGTTGTCTCCCTCATGTACCCACCTATCTGCCCCACCAGCACTTCTTCCCACGAGCACCTGCTCCCCAGTCCTCACAGAAGCTGGCTTTGCCCTCTCTGCACCTGGCTCATACAGCCCCCAAATGTCCTCCCTCCCTGGGCCCACCTGCCTCCACCAGAAGCATGTGTCATAACACTCCAGGCATTCATCTGTAATGCTACAAGCCCAGAACAGAGGAAGGGTCAGAGCCCTACCTGGGCACAAGGTGCTGCGCAGGCGACTTGAGTCCTGGACACCATGCCTACAGCCACACCACAAGCCCATACCACAGCACCATGGGTGGTTGAGGAACCAAATTGAATTGAATATTTAAAGAAATATAAATCTTGAATGTCATATCATAATGTAAAAATACAGAGCCAAATAACAGCTGTACTGGTTTCCTGTTGCTGCTGTAGTAAATTATCACAAGCTTAAGTGGCTTAAAGCAAGACAAACTTAATCTCTTACAATTCTTGGGGTCAGAAGTCCAAAATGGATCTTTCAGCCTAAAAAAATTACCACAGTGTTGGCAGGGCTGCATTCCCTCTAGATCCTGGGAAAAATCTCCCTCCTCTCCCTGCTTCCTGGCCCTGCCTGTTAGGGTGCCTGCCCCTCCCCTCTCCATGCCCTTGGCCCCCTCAGATAATCCAGGGACATGGTCCGTTCCCAGAGTACAGCGCTTAGGACAAGAACACCTTTGGGGTTGGGAGGGGAGTCGGCTTCGCACCTGCCGTAGGACCCTCTTCAGGAGGCAGGCACTGAATGGCAAATGTGAGAGCAGCTGGCTAAGTAGCATTTGGATTTCAGCCTGGCTGATGAGCAGATTTGATTGCTCTGTATTTCTCAGTGCACAGAGGAAGCTCCTCAGCCTGCCCCTGCTCCAGGACTGAGGGAATGTCCCACCGCATCCCACAGACCTCCGCGATGATGGCTGGTGTCTGTTGTAGGGGGCTCAGGATGTGTTCCACAGAGATAGGAGAGGGGACGTGCAGATCCCTTGACCTCGCAGACAGAAAAGACAAAACCTCATTTCTTCCTGGAAGTGGATGAAGTCTCCAGAGGGTTCAATACTGGCCTCATACATTTTTGCCCCTTCCTCTGTTACCTGAGAGGACCTAGGAAAAGATAAGCCTGCATTAAGGGAAAAAAACAAAGTGTGAGGATCTCTCCCCAGCAGTCTGAGGCTTCTAAATTTCTCCTTTGGAAAGATGTGGGTTCCAGACTGTTACCCTTAAGGACCTATCACCATTCCCAGAGCAAACACTAATACAAAGGCTAATAATTTTAGAAATTAGGCCTAAGGGGTTCTGTGTAAAGGAAGAGTGGGTGCTCAGCTACAGTCAGGTAGGGCGATCCCCTTGCACCGGCCAGGTCTGCTCATCCTCTTGTTAGTGACCCTCGGCTCAGACTCAATACCTGCCGGAGTCCCAGAGAATGCAAGGCAGAGCTGAGGAGGGGCCTTGGAAATCACTTTTTTTCAGCCCCCTCAAAGGTCAGACTGAATTCCATATTCGAGGTTGTGCAGCTTGTGTATCCTTTACTTTGGTATTGAATCTTTGGGACCAGAAGAGTTACAGACTTGAGACTATTTTTTTCAAATTTTGGAACATTAGCAGTGATCTGTTACAAGATCTTTTGGGACCCAAGTCTCAATATGAAATGTATTTGTTTCATATACAACCAGTATACACAACCCAATGGTAATTTTACCCAATACTTTTAATAACTTTGTCCATGAAAAAAAAGTTTCCTGGTTTGAAATTTTCACTTGTGGCATTGTGTCAGTGCCCAGAAAAGCTTGGGATTTTGCATATTGGATTTGCGATGCTCAACCTTTGTATCTAAGGGGAACCAGGAATGAGATTCATGTTGGGTTGGCTAGATGCTGCTTCTCCTATTAAGGACAGATGCAGCTGAGACCAGTGAGCCACACTGGCTGTCTTCACCCATCAGGGCAGAGTTGCTGCACTCTGAGCACTTAGACATTGACAGGGCCTTAAGGGCCAGGGAGGCAGGGGAGGTGGACCATTGTAAAACGATGGGTCTACTATGGACAGTGCAGGGAAGGAAGCGGTCCCCAAGACAGAGAAGACCCCACAGCAAGTGGACATGGAACCGTACATGTGCTGGAGCACAGGGAGAGCTCCTTAGCTGGAGACAAAAGCAGAAGGATGGTGGGACAAACGACTGTCCCATCGTGCATCTTGTACACTAGTGGTACAAGCAGATCCTGAACCACGCATGATGGCATACTCCTATAATCCAGCACTCAGGCTGAAGCAGGAACATTGTTGTGAGTTCAAGACCAGCCTGGGCTACAGAGTGAGCTCAAGGCCAGCCTGACTGCACAGTGAGACCCTGTCTCAAAAAAAAAAAAACACCTAATCACTTTTATTTTACTGGTCTTTTATTAATAAAATTAATAAATGCCACCCAATGGGATAATCCTGTACCACAGGTTCCAGCTGCCTGACAGCAAGACATCTGAATTATGGTCCCAAAGTGAACATGTTACAGGAAGAGGTGTGTGGTGAGACCTTATGTGTAGTACTGTACAATCCACCCAGGAAACAGAGGGAAGGGAACCAAAACCAAGGGCTGCCTTGAGCCTGGTATCCAATAGTGGGTTTTTCCTTTTGAGTGGCCTTGCTGGTGGCCTTGCTGGTGGCACAAGGATGCCAAGGTTTCAGGAACCCAGCATAGGACAAGACTGTGCTCAGCCCTGAGAGTCCGAGCCCTGCTCTTCACCCAGCCCCAGCCCTGCTCTCGCTGCCCAGCTGGCTTTCCCCACAGGAAACAGGGACAGGTGGGACAAGCCTTGCATTTCCTGGAGAAAGGGATACTCAGCAGACTGTCCTGTCCCTGCGAGAGCCATGCTGGTCTAGGTGCTAGGGTGGGCGAGCACCCAGTCACCTTCATGGAGCTTCAAGGACTATGGGGCAGATGGACACTGCTGGAACCCAGTGTGAGCACTGTGTGTTCAAGGAGCCACCCCAGCCTTCCTGAGCAGGGCAGTGGGGCGTGATGGTGTGAACAGTGGTCAGAATGCTGATCATGGAAAAGGAGTCGGAGAGTCAGGAAATTGCCAGTGGTAAAATGGGGCTGGAGGCTGAGGTCGGGAGTCCAGTTCTAATGCAAAGGACGATACCCAAGCTAGACCGTGGCAGCAGTCAGGTGTGGTGCCTGTGGGGCAGCAGGTGCTTAGGAAGCCCTCTCTGGGGCCGCCCCGGGCACACAAGGCAAGGAGATGGGCTCTCTGCAGCATGTCTCCACCAGCTCTGCCTCACCTGACTGGCACATTTTTTCCGGCAGACCTTCACAAAGGTCATGGGCCTCAGTGGTAGATCCTTAGGCCTTTCCAAGGAAGCCATGGTTATCTCGAGGAAAGGATTTGTCATAGTCTATGAAAAGACTGCCAATTCTTCCATTAAGAAAAAGGCTTTAAAGATAGATTCATCTGTAGTTCCATCAGCAGACAGTATCCTGGCTCAGTGGCGTGCACAGGTCAATCATTGTGATGCATGACCGGATGGGTGAAGCTAAGCATTTATTTTTCATGAACGCTTTTGCCTTTGAACCTCTGACTTCCAGTAGTAACAGGGAGAAATTTAGTCGTATTGTGGGTTCTGTGAAACCAAGTAAAACCGCAGTTGATAATCCTTTTTGTCAGTAAAACAAATGCTAAAATCCAGTGGAACTTGCTCCCCAGTGTCTGAGCTACCAGGGTACAGAGCGAAGATGCTGCGGTCTCCCTGGGAGCCCAAGTGTGAGAAGCCTTTGATGGGAGTCCAGCCCCTGTGGATTTGTGTTTGGAGCCCCTCTGATTGCCCCCGGCTTTCTCAGGCAGCTGTGGGTCTGGCTGTCCTCCGTTCACACATCAGGACCTGTTTTGCTTCTGCTGCATCACTGTGTTTGTCTTCATGTCGCTCATGCAATTCGTGCTCTTCCAAGCCTGCGTTCTGTTGGGTAATCGTGATGTTTGTTGCTGCACCAGATGGCTTGCAGACTCCAGTGTTTGTTCAGTGTTGTTAGCGATTCCAAGAGTCTGAGAGACAAGAATGGGAGGACATTGTAGTTCTGTTACTTAAAATTTTAACCAATTCTTCATATCCATAAAATCATGTGTCTGTGTTCTCTAGCTATTGTATTTTTTTTTTTTTTTTCAAGATCATTGCATACGTTTGTTCACCACTGACATGCTGGCTGCTGGCTCTGTTAACGTTCCTAACTGCAGTTTGCGTTGGTAAAATGTGCCCTTGTTTCTGATGTCCTGATAAATTTCTGTTTGCACAGGGATTTTGCTTATGTAGCAAGAGATAAAGACACCAGAATTTTGAAATGTCATGTATTTCGATGTGACACACCAGCAAAAGCTATTGCCACGAGTCTCCACGAAATCTGTTCCAAGGTAAGTGGGGCGAGGGCCACTTCTGTTCTCACTACTTGAGCAGACAGAGGGATGAGAAGTGCAAGACTTGCAAGTTGAATTCAGGAAGCAGCAGATTGCTGGGCCCTTGTTTTATAGAAACCTCATCAACCCAGGGCCCAGCTGCCCCTGCTGCAGGCCAGGTGTTGCTCCTAGTGGCATTCTCTAGGAGCTATACAGAGCTGTGTCTCCCACGGGCTGAGAATTATGTCCCAGAGGTCAGCCCTCCAGGGCAGGTGCAGTGGTGGCCATGTGCCCCCAGAATTGGGGAAAGGGCTGTTTGGGAACATAGCACTCCAAGAGTGAATGCAGGTGGAGAGCAGGACAGGAGGAACCTGAGGGGTGTGTGGAGGTGCAGGCACATACTGACCTGACAGTGACACACAGCAGCCCCTGGGAGCTCATCCTCCCGCTTTGAGACAAGGCGATGGCCACTGTCCTGCTCAGCCAGAGTCCCCAGGTCTCAGTGAGCGGCCAGCCCGGCCCCACCCATCCGCCTCAGGCTGAAGCAGGAACATTGTTGTGATTTCAAGACCAGCCTGGGCTACAGAGTGAGCTCAAGGCCAGCCTGACTGCACAGTGAGACCCTGTCTCAAAAAAAAAAAAAAAAACCCAGCCCCCCTCCTGTGATTTCTCCTGAGCTGGCAAGACCCAGCCCAGGCCAGCATCAGGGTCGCAGCCCAGCTGGTAACTGAGCTGCAGGTGCCAAAGTAAAATCCTCCCCAGCCTGTGCTCACGTTTCTGCACTGACCGGACCCCACCCATCCACCTCATCCCATCTGGTACCCTCACTTCCAGTACAGCCTCCTGCACAGCCACACCCTGGCCTGCCGTGGCCTCTCACTTTCCAGGAGTCTGTTCCCTGCTGAGACCAGCTGTTGCTGTCTTTTGTTGACCTGAAACCGGCCGCCTGGGGCCACCAAACACTCCTCAGAGGTCTGTGGCAGCCAGAGGGCTTCCTGCTGTGTCTGCCAGGCTGCCCTTCCTCTGTCCTCTGACTCCAGGGCCAGTGTTGGGGTGCTTCGAGTTGCTGGCAGTCCCCCCTTTTCATTCATCCCATTGGTGTCAGCTAGACACACCGCACACTGTCACTAGCTTTCCTCATCTGAGGCTTTCTACTCCCCGGATCTGTTTAATTGACAGAATCTAATGCAGGATTTTTCCATCACTTGTCATCATTACCCAGCCCCCCTCCTGTGATTTCTCCTGAGCTGGCAAGACCCAGCCCAGGCCAGCATCAGGGTCGCAGCCCAGCTGGTAACTGAGCTGCAGGTGCCAAAGTAAAATCCTCCCCAGCCTGCTGCTCTGACAGTGCATCCTGTTTCTTCCAGCCTGTGCTCACGTTTCTGCACTGACCGGACTGGCCACAGGTCGCATACCCCAGCTTTTTATTTTTTGCCTTCCTTCATGCAGTAAATACGGCTAGGGTCAGTTGCATACTGGGTACTGTTCCAGTCCCAGGGCAGAGTGAAATATCTGATGTAGGAAAAAGTCCTTCCCTGCAAAGAATGGGCTCTAGCGTAAAGCCCTTGGAACCCGTGTCTGGGAAGCACGCAACTGTCCTCTTGTCAGTGCTCTTGCAGCATCCAAGCGCTGGTCTGGAGAGTCGGGTGCCGTGGAACCCAGGGGTGGCATGACTGTCACTCTCCTGCAGTGGAAAGCTTGGCTGCAGGGTGCAGGCCTGGTCCCTGCACCCACAGCGTACATAACCAGTGGGACATGAGCACAGCAGATGTCAGTGTCCATAAGGGAAAGGTTCAAGAACAGTGACTCCAGCTGGCATTCAGAGACTTCTCTGTTTAATGTATTCATTCATTTAATCCACGGAACCTCCCTGTGACACAAGTACAGTGATCATCCCTATGCTCGGTCAAGGAAACGAGACACAGGAGGCACAGGACTTGCCCAGGGTCACACAGCTAGTAAGTGGCACAGGTGGGGTTTGAACCCATGCGCTGTACCTCCAGAGCCTTGAGTATCTAAATATCAGGTCTGACAGCATTGGGGCAGGTCCCTCTCTCTGGTCCCTCTCTCTGTGGGACCTGTAGCCATGGAGTGTTCTAAGTTCCAAGTGAGTAAGTTTCACATGATAGAAGGCCCCAGAAAATGAGCAAACTTCTCAGACTGCATGTATAGCACAGAGGTACAGGCATGTGGAATCGAGGAAAAGACTAAAGCTTGGATTGACCAGCTCAGACCCTCTACTGGCTAGAAGCTGAAGATGGAGCCAGAACCAGGCACCAAAGCTAGGTTTTCACTTGCCTTTCAGATTATGGCCGAACGGAAGAACGCCAAAGCCCTGGCCTGCAGCTCCCTGCAGGAGAGGACCAACGTGAATCTCGACATGCCCTTGCAAGGTAGGTGAGGGGTGGTACTCTCCTTCCTGTGGTCTCCCTTCCTGTGGTGCTGTCCATCTGGACAAGGACCCAAGGGTCTCAGCTGCTTCTCTGGTGCTTTAGGTCTCCTTAAAAAGCAGATTGAACTCAACAGACACAAGAGCGGGGGCAGTTAATTTTGTGTCGGTGGGGTTTGATATAAAGGTCAGGTTTTGTTGCTCTTGGAAAAGATTAAAGAATATTATTGATAGTCATTTTAAGCTCATCTACACCTTGGGGTAAGAACTGCCTAAGTTAAAAATTGTGGCCTGTTACGTGAGGAACTCTTTGGCTATTCTTCTGTCTGAGATGGTGCCCTGTGGTTAATTCCTTGGCATCAGCCACACCTAGCAATAGGGCACCTACCCGAAGTGGTTTCTCAGTGCACAGCACAGAGAACAGCATCCTTGACGTCTCAGCTGCTGCCTCCAAATGCTTTCCTGCCTCCAGGTGAAACTGGATAGGGTTTGGACAAGGCCCCAATGTCTGGAGTAGGGACTGTCCTGATATACCGCCCTGAAACGGGCCATTGGGCATGCGTGGTGTTCTGGACGTTCTAGATCTGGCAGTGTCTGCTCTGCCCTGGGCTGCACGCAGCGTGAGCAGGACGTGTTTCTTTTGTCCCATAGTAGATTTCCCGACACCGAAGACTGAGCTGGTCCAGAGGTTCCACGTGCGGTACTTGGGAGTGCTGCCTGTACGCAGACCAGCTGGTACGTAGCCCTTCTGTCTTTCGCTTTGCCAGGTCGGGGCCCCTGGGAGGGCGAGGTCTGCCATGTTTCTCTCCTGCCTGGTCTGGAAGCAAAGTGCTCATGCTGTCACCAGACAGAGCTCGTGAAACATCCTGATGACACAAGCCTTGCAGCAGAGGCCGAGCAGGATGGCTGTGTGAGCCCAACATACACGGACTTCACAAGACAGGGGTGTGTTTCTCATCTCCACAGCCATCCAGGGATGGGAGCCATGGATCATGGTGTCCTCTGCCATTGTCCAGTGGGCATCCATGTCTGGGGCCACGGCTCCTGCCTCAGATCTTACTGCCTGGGGTAAGGATGAGGATGCAGGTGATGTGACCCAGAAGTGACACCCTCAGCCTCCAGTTCACCTCCCAGTAGCCGATGTTGCCTTCACTGGCTAGAAAGTCCAGGAGAAATCAGAAACCCTATCCACAATGAAAGACACTGGAACATGGTGCCGCAGCTTTGGCACACAGTTGAGGCAGCTCTTCGGGCAGTTGAACATCATGACCTTTAACCCAGCAGTTGTGCTTCTGCACGTATTACCCAAGGGACGTGAAAGCGTCTGTCCGCACAATACCTTGAACACCGATGTTCCTGGTAGCATTATTCCTAATAGATAATTTTAAAAAGGTAACAAATCCAAATGTGTATCAACTGACAAATGGTTAAATAAAAGTTGATGCTTCCATATAATGGAATCATGTGGCAATGAAAAGGAACGAAGTGCTGGAGTGTGCTGCCATGTGGATGGCCCTTGACAACAAGGGAGGGAAAGGAGTCAGACTCAGAAACCTCCTACTGTGAGACTGCAATACAGGCCAGTCCAGAATAGGAAATATCTAGACGCAGAGGCAGACATGGCTGCCTGGGGTAGAGCATAGGTCCTGAAAGGCGCAGCCCTTCCTTTGGGGTCAATGAAAATGTTCTACAATTGATTTTGGTGGTAGGCACACTGTGTGAATATACTAAAAACCACTGAATTGTACATTTACAACCAGTGAGCTCTGTGTGAATTATATCACATTGAAGTTGTTACTCCTCCTAGCCCTCCCCTACTAAAGAAAAAAGCCTGTAGGAAGACCTGGCCAAAAGGCCCCATGGAGAAGCACCTTCTGTTTATGTAAAGGGGTCATCAGCCCTGGCCTTGTTTAAACGTCAAGTATGATGCAAGATGACCAGATACTTTGGCAGATGCTGGCTTGTGCAGAGCTCCCTCCTCAGGGCTCCTGTGCAGACACAAGCAGGGCTGTTCACTCCCCAGAGCTGAGGAGTATTTGGCTGATCAGACAGAACACCTCACGCCAGCTCTCTGGAGGAGCTCATGCTCCTGCTTCCTGCTGCAAAGTCTGGCATTCCTTTGCTTTGGGGCAAACATGAAAACGAAGTATGGAGTATCTTCTGTAACAAAGAAAAATCAGCCTGAGCTTAGCCGTCACTGGGTGACTGGGCCCACTGGAGAGCTCTCACCAACTTCAGGGCTGTTGCGGTTCTTTTCCATCCACAGGCATGGATACCCTGAACAGCGCCATAGAAAGTCTTATGACCTCATCCAACAAGGAGGACTGGCCATCAGTGAACATGAACGTGGCCGATGCCACGGTGACAGTCATCAGTGAGAAGGTGAGGGCCGCACGGGACATGGGCTGCAGGGAGGATTACATGCAGTGGTCTTCACGAACCATGGAAACAGCTGGGGCCTGTGCGCCTGGGCGTTGCACCTGCTTGTGACTCAAGAGCCCTGCACTCATGAAGTGTTTGGCCTCTACTGCAGTCTCTGGCCACCTTTGCTTTCTCCTCGACCTGGAATCTTCTGTCCTGGTGACCCTAATTCTGCCTTCTTTGTTTGCCCGAGAGATTGAAGCTGTATGTGGCAGGTGATCAGTGATCCTGGAGTCTGGTTCTGGCCAGCCGCTCAGGGCCCCATGTGGGTTGGGCTGTGTTGGCAGATACTGAATACAAAAGGTGTCTTGCTGAGGAGGGCGGTGGGGGGGGGGGTTGTTCTGTCCATAGTAGAAAGGGTCATGGGTCATCGGTCCTCTTAGCAGAGGCCAGCGCCACCCTTAGTCTAACTCAGCTGAGGAAGTGGAAGTATGGAGAGGTTTAAAATGTCCAGCATCACACTGATGAAAGTACGGGACCAGGCTTCAAAACTGGGCAATCTGGCTCCAGACTACTGACCACTATCCCATCCGGCCAGTGAAGCTCCTGTCCTGGAGACACCTCAGGTCACCAGCCTGCTTGCGTGTCTGCTCCCTGCCCACCAGCAGGCTGCTCCAGGCCAGTTCATTTCTGAGTGTGCCATGCCAGGTTTCCTCGTGTCCCTCCAGCATGTCTCCGTGCTCTGTGTCTCAGTGTCTCTCCGGGACCCCTCCTCCCACACGCCAGCCCTCAGCCAGGTTGCAGTTTCAAGATCTCTCTGGAAATCCCCTGCAAACATGCCCTTGCACCTGAGTGAATCAGTCCAGATATTATGATCTAAAAGTGACATTCTGGCTATGTTTAATGATTCAAAAATTACACATGGTTGTCACAAAGGGTGTGTCCTTTATATCCGGAAGAATGAATTGGAGACCGTGCTTTATGCTGCTTCATGTGGACACCAGTTGTCATTTGTAGAAAGGGAAACAAGTGATCTGACAAGTTGGTTGACTTGGCCACGTTTTGTTTCACACAGATCCAGGTAGAAATGTGACTCAGTGTGCTGTTTCCCTGGGTAGATGTGGCAGGCAACAGCAATGCAGTTAGTCCTTTCTTTGGATGACTGCAGTTCATGTGGACACACTGGCTTTGAGCCACTGGACGTGGCAGTGTTTCTCCCCCACTGAGACACAGATGCCAGGTACGGTGCTGGGCATAGGACACATCACCTACCGTGCACAGTGCACACAGCTGGATGAAATGTCAACAGATGCCCACATGGTAATGGCCTCCCTGCACATGTAGGCAGCTTCACCTTTCTAGATAGTCACGGGTCCTTTCTCAACTCAGTTTGGCCATGCTGTAGTACCAGATCATGTCCACTGACTTCGTGGCTTAGGATAAGGCCGTCCAGGTGCCCGTGGCCCTTCATGAGCAGGTGTGGTGCTAAAGACTGAGTGCTGTCTCTTGCAGAATGAGGAGGAGGTCCTGGTGGAGTGCCGGGTGCGGTTCCTGTCCTTCATGGGTGTTGGAAAGGATGTCCACACGTTCGCCTTCATCATGGACACCGGGAGCCAGCGCTTTGAGTGTCACGTGTTCTGGTGCGAGCCGAATGCCGCCAACGTGTCCGAAGCAGTCCAGGCTGCCTGCATGGTGAGTGGCGGCCACAGTGAGGTCCTTAGCATTCCTTCCCTGCTTAGCATTCACGCAACATAAGCGAGAGCAGAATTACTCATTCAAAAGAGAAAGCTGGATGTGGAGGTCCTGCCTCTAACCCCTGCACTCTGGGAGGCAAGGACAGGATTGAAAACTTTGAATCCAGCCTGGGCCACTTGTTGAATTAGTGAGAACCTGCCTCAAAAAAAAAAAAAAAATTGAAAGGACACAGATGCAGCTCAGTGTAGTGGCCTGGATTCAGTCCCAAGTATTGCCTAAAAATGTAAAAACAGAAAGAGAAATCAGATTTTTAAAGCCCCACTTAACTGAGTCAATTAGAGAGGCAGGCTGTGTGTCCAGAAGCCAGCATGCTTGCATGAAGCAGACCCAGCAGAGCCACGTCCCATAGAGACCCAATAGTGCTGGGAAGGATGCACTTTTGGGGGCTGTCCTCTCCTGATCCCAAGTCCATTTCAGTACGTGATCAGAAAATACTGGCCATGCAAGGCTGTCACTGTATGCATTCAGCTCAGTGCTTGGAAACAGCAGTGTTCTGAGTGGCTTTTGCTTCACATAGTGGCTGTTCTAGGTGCACTGTCCTCCCATCTTGTATCCACCTTACATCTACTAAGTTAGTGCTTATAGCAGCCCTGTGGGGTGGTTGTTAGCACTGTTTTATTGCTGAGAGCAGAGACTCAGAGAAGTTCGAGTGAGCCACAGGGCACGGGGTGGGTAAGTAGCCCCGTGCTGCCGCTGCTGGGCCACACAGCCAAGTGCTTTTCATTGCACAGATGATTTGGAACAGAAATGGTCCCTTGTTCACTGGACACATACCTTTGTGCACCTGTCACAGCAGGCACTGGAGGGTGCAAGCCAGAGTGAAAGCAGCGTGAACACAGAGGCCCCAGAGCCTGCACCCCTGTTTTCCAGCGGTGGCAGCTGAGCTGCTGGGAACAAGTGGCAGGAAGCTGGTTCTGTGTCCTGCAGGGCCAGTGCCCATGGTGTCATGCCAGACAGAGTTCCAGATTGTTAAGTAGGGGAGTAAATTGATCATATTTAGCTTTTAAAAGAATATTCTAGTAAAAAAAAAAAACCCAGCCATTTTGAGGCCTGGGTGAGCCACTCTGAGACTGGTGGGCACAAGCCAGGAGACACTGGTGAGGACCTGAGAGGCGCCATACAGGTGGTGTGCCGTGGGGAGGGGCTGGGCTTGAGGCCCTGAGCCATCTGCATTTAATTTACCCAGTGTGTGTAGGCTGGAAATCTTAGGTACACTCAGGTCTGTCTCAGTTTAACCCCGGCACTGTGGAGCTTAGGCATGGTGTGTGGGAGACACACAAACCCAGGCCTAGGCCCACTTTAGTGTGGAAAGGCCACAGATCCACACGTACGCTCCCTGATGACAAGGAACCAAGAGGAAAGAGGAGCGGAGACTCCAGAAGTGGACGGCTCAGCCGGTCCATTATCAGAGGGCAGCTGGAAGCGCAGACAGGTTAACTGGTTGGTTGGTTTGGGGACGGGGTTGATCACACTTTCTTAGCCATGAGCCAGCAGGGCTAGATTGAAGGGGTCGCACACACACTGCGTGCCTGACATTTCTGTCCATGACATGACCATCCATACATATGACAGTGGTCCATGGGATTATAATGGACCTGAGGAACTCCCATCCCATGCTGGGTACTTGTGTCTCAAGCTAGAGGTTATATAGAAGCATCAAAGAGCTTAAAAAGAAGAGTATATACACACAGCTATAGTGAGCTAGGGTTAATGCATTAGTGAAGCAAAAGTGTTAACAAATTTGGTCTAGCCTAAGTGTCCTTGGCCTTCAGTCACTCACAGATGTCAGAACAACTTCCAGCCCTGCAGCTCCATACAGGCATGTTTTTACATGCCCCTTGTTTAGATACACAGACATCAGTGTTTCATGGCCTGCAGTGCTCAGTAGAGTAACCTGCTCTCCGGCTGCAGCCCACCCAGGAGCCCTAGGCTGCGCCACCCAGCCCAGGTGCACGGTAGCCACCCCACTCTGGGCGGGGCGCATACACCATGAGTGTGGTACAGGGACGCATCAGCTGATGCTGTGTCTCCTTCCGTGTAGTTGCAGCATGAATCTGACAGGAAATGGTGGGAAATGAAGAGCTGAGAAGAGGCACTTAGCCTCTGCCTGATTAGAGAGCTCTCACTGGACTCTGGGACAAGGCACTAGGAACCAAGAGGAGCGAGGCTGAGAGGAGGAAGTTGAGAGCTGTGTGTTATTTTTTATGCATAGAAGACTGCTAAGAGTGAAGGAAAGCATGGGTGTGGTGGTGTACATCTGCAATCCCAGCAGTCTGGGAGGCCGAGGCAGGAGAATCGAAAGTTTGAGCCTAGCCAGGGCAATTTATTGACTTTGCAAGAAACAAAAGGAAAAAGTTAAAGGGCTGAGATGTAGCTCAGTGTGAAGGCTCTAGCTTTGATCTTCAGTCATAAAATAGAGACAGACAGGGAGAGGGAGGGAGGTTGAGAGAGACAGACAGAGATAGGAGATGGCAATGTGAGAATTGACTTTCATCTTTAAGATGCTTTTGACATGGAGGGGGGAGGGAGGAGACACCTGGTGTCTCTTCTTGGATCCATTTCCACTTACCACAGTCTTTATTACAGGTATAGCACACGCATGCGTGCACGCGCGTGCACACACACACACACACACACACACACACACAGAGCCCACCCAGCCCTGTGGTGCCAGAGTTGTGACTGTCAGGTGCCTGAGTGTTGAGCAGGGTGGGATGGAGGAGGCGAGGCAAACTCAGACCAGGTGTGGGGACAAGGACAAGGTGACGGGCTCCACAAGGCAAACAGAGGGTGTGAGTGTCTATCAAGCACAAATGGATGGTGGCTGAGTAGATGTCCTGTGAAACAGCAGCAGATCATAGCAGATGGTTTTGGTCATAAAATGAATGGCTTTCAGACTGTAATTATACATCTTAAGTGCTGATGCCAATTAAATAATTAGCTTTATTACTAGTTGCAGTTTGTTCTTGATTCCCATACTCATGTTCTCTCTTGGAAACAGCTTTTCCTCATTTGCTTCCTATTTTAATTGTATTAGATCAATTAGTATAGCAGCCAGAGTAGCTCAGCCAACCAGTGTAGGCACGCGGGTAGAATCGGAGGCGCCTGCCCCACCAAGAGGCCAGCATGTCGCATGCAGTGGCTTTTTTCTTGATCCAGATCTGTAGGATTCTCCATCTGAATTGTCTAGATAAGAATTTATCCTATCTGAAATGTGATATTAATACTCTCTGAATCTACTTAATTTTTAGGCATATGTCACAGCTACAGGTGTAGGCTTCTGATGAAATTGTTGTGAAACTCAACATAGGACAGCAAGGACTGTTATTGGTCAGCCTCCCCATGCTGGAGCACAGTGCCCACTACCCAGTTTAAAGGAGGAGGGAGGTCTTGGAGATTCAACCTCTGGTTAGCAGGCTCCAGGGCAAATTCTCTGTGGAGGGGGGTGGCAGAGCAAAGCATCATGGTGCCCAGGAAGCAGGGCAGGGAATAGCAGCAGAGAGGAAGGGCAGGCAGCCTGTAGAGCACCACGGGCTCGCCTCCGCAGCCCACCCAGCATGTGTCAGTAATCCACTCACAGCCCCCGAGCCAGCCAAGTTGACACAGCCAAGCTTAAGCATCACAGGGGTCCCTGTGGAACTCGTCAGTCAAGTGCCATTTTGATTCATGCTAGTGTCCCATGTCACCATGCCTGCCTGCCTAATTCACGCTTTAGATGTACATGTTTTGAGCTGTGATGCAGATTAGCAAGATGCCTTACCCAGAGTAGATGCAGTGAATCACCCTGTTTCACATGACCGAAGTGGCAGGGCCAGTGCGCTGGGCTGTGGGCTGTGGCAGACACTGGCCCTTCATTCCCTAGAGGTTTGCTGTTCTACTTTATGCCTCGTAGGGAGTGATGTCAACTTGTTCCAACCTGCTGATATTTAAGTCAGCTTCTAAAAGTCAGCTGTGGAAGTATTTCGTAGTGCTTTGATTAGGAAAAAAAAAAAACACTGGTAAATTTTAACCTTTTCATCTCATTTTAAATAATTTTTTATCTTCCCATTAAAACAAAAGCAGGTAGGTTGTTTTGTTATGTTAGTGAAGGATAGAATTTGTTAGTTTTTGTAAAACTAGTCCATTAGGGTTTAGACTTAAATCTAAAATATGAATACACCTTTTTTTTTTTTTTCGGCACCAGGGATTGAACTCAAGGCCCTGTGATTGCCAAGCAAGCGCTTATTCTACTGAGCTATCCCCCCGGCCCCCATTCTTTATTAGAGTAGGAAAAAGCACTCTACTTTGCGTGGCCTGCTTTAGGTGATCTCTTAGTGCGCCTTATCCTGTCATAACCCCTCTCTACAGACTCTCTCTCAGCCACTTCACAGTTGAGAATACTTAGGCTCAGGAGATTTAGTCCAACCCCCTGAAGTCAACAACTCAAAAAGTGGTAGTCAGGCATGATGGCATGTGCCTGTAATTCCAGCACCGAGAGGCTGAGGCAGGAGGCTGTGGGTTTGAGACCTGCCTGGGCTACATAGTTCAGGACAAGCACGAGCGCATAGCAAGACCCTATCTCAGAAAAAGAAGTGGTGGACCGTGCTGTCTGGGGAGCCCAGAGTGCAGCCCGATGGTCCCTGAGGGGGATTCAGGGGGCGCCCTCTGCTCCAGGCCCTGCTTGCTTTCCCCAGCTCAGGGACTGCGAGGCTTATCCACCGTAGCCTGTGAAGACCGAGTATAAGTCGGGTGGAATGGATGCCAGGAAAAGGTGGCCTAAGCAGCACACCTTCACTGAGCCTAATGGGTTTAAAACACCCCCGTAAAGAAGGAACTGTTGGATTTAAGAGTGCGGCTGTTAAATGTTTGGAGTCAGTGTATTGGTGACGACTTGAAGTCTTGCTAACAAGATGATGTAATATTACCTTGAATACTTTCTTTGCTTTATTTCAGTTACGCTATCAGAAGTGCTTGGTAGCCAGGCCACCTTCACAGAAAGTCCGACCACCTCCTCCGCCAGCGGACTCAGTCACCAGAAGGGTCACCACCAATGTAAAGCGAGGGGTCTTGTCCCTCATTGACACTTTGAAACAGAAGCGTCCCGTCTCGGAAACACCGTAGCTGCACACGTTCCAGGCCTCTGGTGTCCCCCTGAACACTGAAGAGCTACACTAAAGAAAGGAACTGACCCCGCCTTCCATTCCGCCACCCATGCCTTGTCTCCAGAGAGTTTACCTGTAACCAGACAGTGTTAGACAAGCATGTTCTCTGTCTTGCCACCATCATGTGATAGGAAAAGAAGCATGAATACTTTTTTTTGCTGTAAGTTACATCATGAGCAGTGGAAGGTCCCTTTTTTATTGTACATATCGTGGACGGGACTTGGCTTCACGTGGAGAGAGAAGCGTGGCCACGCCCGCCTGGAGAATTGTCACTGCATCCTTGCGGTCGATGGTGCCGGAGTCCACTTCGCCGGCTTCTCGACTCTTCTGTCACAAGCACCTCTCAATCCTGCAGCACTCTGTCCGCTTTCAGCCTTGGAAGCACGGAGATGGCTGCAGAACAGATGCCACTGAGTTACTGTAAACATAGGACGGGTTCTAGTTTTCCGTTGAATCGAACCCGTTGGTTGACCCAGTCGGCTGTTGGCATTGGCGTAGCAGCCAGTGGGCAGCTTTCCCTCACACGCTTTGACACGTGGACACCATTTCATGTCTACCGCTGTTTGTGGGGTGTTGGGAGGGCAGTGAAACTTCAGAGCTAATGAAAAACTAAATTCGGGGAATTAAAATTGAACAAAAAAATAGCCTTTTCAGATGGTTTTCAAACTGATTATTTTAAAAAAGAGATAACAAGATCCTGATGCGTTTTGGGTGGGACATATTTCAAACTTCTGCCTTACATAGTACAATGCAGCTAGAGAATTATAGGTCACGATGGTCTTTCTCTGCACAAACATTAGATCAAATACTCCTCACAACCCTCTCATCCTGTTTGATAATTAGCCAATATGCAATTTAGAGTTGAGGAAATGTCATTTGTTTCTCTGTCGCACACTATTATTTTAGATTTCCACCACCACATTATTTTTGTTTGTGTACATCCTAAGGTAATGTTCCCCTAGAAGTGCCCATCTAGCTCATTTTACTTCCAGTGTTGTTTTCTGTCCAGAAAGCTGTCTGTCCGCTACATATTGTCCATGGCAACAAATTACATTTAGTTGAAACTTTCTTGAATTTATGTATTTAATGTTAGAATTTGTTAAATCCAACAAGATATATTTTAAAATTTGTATTTTTTCCATTTTATTTTCAATACTTAAAAATTTCATACCAGAGAAAAGTATACACAGGAATAATGGGCTATTTAAGTTTCCCAAAAATAGCATTTTCCTGCTTTTTATGTGGCTAAGAAACTTAGCTATGAAGATATACAAATTTAGACTCTTGTTGAAATTGGTGTTTTAAAAGGAAGTTGCTAGGGAGATCAATCTCAATATTAGTCTTGTTTACTTTGTAATGTGTCAAAATGAACGTTTACAACATCCAGTTATAAAAGTAACGCTTTCCGTTTATACACAGCTTTGTACTTGTCAAAATGGTTTCCATACCCTTATCACATTTGAGCCTTATGTGGTAGAAAAGGTACTAAACACATTGGAGGAATAAAATACGAAGTACCGAGAGGCTTAACTCTATGGACCTGAGATCTCACCAAAGCTTGGGAGGGCCAGATGCACCTCCACCCCAGTTGTTGCTATCTTATTCCCCTCCACACTTTCCCAGTGACTCAGGCATCCACAGGAGCAGACGTTGAAACTCGTATTGTCCGGCAGTCTCAGAATCCCTGGAAGCAGCAGGGAAGCCTGGCCATGTTACTCAGTGGTCATGTTAGATCTACCACAGTGCTGCCTTCTCGCAGTCCAGGACTGCCTGCTGCCCTGTGCCCCTCACATGCTGTAGCGGCCAGGCATCCACATTTGCTGCAACCTGTGCCAATCTAAGTTTCCGGGGTGATGGCTTTTGTGGCAGCGGTGCCCCTCACCTTGGCCCTTACACACCAGAATAGGACAGAAGGAGTAGGAGACCTCTGCCTGCCGTGGTGAGGGCTCAGTAGGGCACGAAGTGTTTGCTGGCCCTCTGATGTCGTAACGGAAGTGATGCTACTTTAGAAATGCATTGTGCTTCTCGCCAATTGTATACTGTTCTCTCTGAAGTAACCGTGCCATTGTGAGGAATTGCTGCATTATGAAAATCTTACTGTGCCCTGTACACTGCTGTTGAGAAGTCAGTTGTGATGATCTTTCATCTTGACCTCCCCCATGAAATGTTCTAGTGTGATAGGCTTCGATATTCTAAACACATAACTCACTTTTCTACAGGAAATCTCTCCCAGAACCCTCTTGTTCATTTTTTTAAGGTATACATTTGTTTTCAGGATCAAGAACACCGAGCTAGCTTTAAACAGCAAACTGATTTATATATGCAATTATAGGATGCAGTAAGATGAATGATAACCTTTACATGTTGAAAACTTTACTGCAGATGCTTTGTTTTAAAACTGATTTTGCATACTCAATGCAGATTAACTGTATGAAACTTATTATGTTAAATAGTATGTTGAGACACTTTCTGCCATGGCCAAAAAGTATGTATGAATGTGTGTGTGTGTCCATCTGTGAAGGGATGCCAATGTCTTACCTGAGGACTTAGTGATATTCAGTTACCTATGCATCTTTCTATCTGTGATTCGGTAAGCAGGCAGCCATGTTCACTATGCCTTGTATCTCTTATCATTTTTTAAGTAACCTGTTAAATACAGCTTAAATATTTTTATTTATTCTATTTTTACTGAAATATACTGCATTATTGTGTTAATGTATTATCTTTACTGGATATTACATCTCAATGTATCCAGGCCTAAGTAATCTCAGTGAACTATTCGTTGCCTAACAGTGGTTTTGTAATGATTTGTAGTCACATTTCTATTGGAATATGTAGAAGAAAGGCAAAATGCTTAAAGTTCCTTTTATTTTTGAAGAGCAGCTAGCTAGACGCAGTCTTGCCACCTGGTCTGCGTGCTCCTTGGCCGCATCAGGGGGCGCACCCGCCATGCCTATGGCTAAGAACTTCTCTTTGTAGACTAAAGCACTGTGCCGTGCTTCCTTTTTATAGCCTTCACAATGTGTGCAATGTCATCTAAAGACATATGCATATGTCCACACCCTCTTTGTCTTCACCTGGTTGAGAAAACAAATTAGAGCCATCGTTTTTTGTTTGTTTTACTGCACGAAAGAACATTAGACTCATTTCCATTAAAACAAGTTCTTGGTGATAAACTGTTGGCACTGCTACTTTTATTTTTAAATCCATGTTCTGAATTTAAGATGGACACCTGTTCTTACAGGTATTGAGTTTGAGATGGACGCCTGTTCTTACAGATGTTCTGAATTTAAGATAGACACCTGTTCTTACAGGTGTTCTGAGTTTGAGATGGACACCTGTTCTTGCAGGTGAGTTTACCAACAGCACACAAGCTCCCCTTTCTTGAACAGCACACTCATTTTGTGAGCTTTGCAACACAAGGTCTGCTAAACAACACAGAAAGCATACCCCTAAATGAAATTAGCACACTTTAACAGGACCATTAGCTCTCCAGCTGGCCAGGCTAAACCTAAAGCCCATCTAACACATAGTTTACAGCCAGTAAAATGAAGTGGACGTTACTTCAGCTTGAGAGCAGTGCGCCTCACACCACAGAAAGAGCATCCCTGGCCCCTGGAGCAGCCTGTTCACCCCAAGGGTTGTTTCATTTTCCTTTTACCCCTTTTGCTATTGACCGCTTTTACACATTTAAATGTAATATGTTGTGAGAATAAATTTAGCTGCATAAAATGTTTGGCTCATTGATCTGACACCTCAGTTGTATATATGAGAAACAAATACAAATGTAGTGTCTCTACCTTAGTTTATTTTTATATCATCAAATTCAATGTTTTAGAAATCCAAAGTAACATAAGATTCAGCTCTGATAAGAGATCATGTCTTTCCACCTGGTAAGAAGTTGCAAGTTAATTCTGAGTAGTGACCTGGAGTTAGTTGGGTGATGAAGGACAGCAGGTGTTCTGGACACAGAAGCCCATGTAGTCAGTGGAGCGGTCTTTCTAGAATTAAACCATTTACACAAGGAAACTTATTAAAAAGCTACCTGCAAGGGGCCGTGGAGACAGCTCAGTAGAATAAGTGCTTGCCTGGCAAGCGCAAGGGCCTGAGTTTAAAAAAAAAAAAAAAAAAAAGCTAACTGCAGAGAATTGCGAACAGAGATGTACAGGCACAAGATGCCAAATGAAAGGCAGCGGGGCACTCCGCTGGCTGTGAGTCAGTCCTACTGCAGACCCTGGAGAGCACGGGTGACCAGGCGCGTGAGCCTCTTGCTCACCGTGCACCCCCTAGCGGTCCTCTCGCACACTGTCAAAAGACAGTGACTCAAGGAACAAAAGTTCATCGTGTTGGGGTTTTCGTAGTTAAAACGCTTTCAGATAAAAACCCAAATTTGCTATCAGAATATATAAACAACAGCTTGATTATTTTAGATTTCTGTAATACTTTTAAAAGTTCAAGCAACTAAAATGCCACAGAAAAAAGACCCATGAATAGTCATTATTTACTGAAATTCTCGTTTTGCTTTTACCCTAAAGAGCCTTTTCATTCTATCGAATTATTTAACTGATCCTGTCCTCCTTAGAAATTTTCAAAGAATAAAATTCAGGATTAGTGGACAGTTCAGCTCAGAATCTTCCTAAGTTTCCAAAGAGAAAAGCACTTCAGTGCCAGATGGACAACTGGAAATCATGGGGTCTGAGTTGTGACACGAACTCCAGGCGCTGTGGAGGTTAGAGAGCACCCTGTGCTGTTTCAAAACACCACACAGAAGTGCACTTGGAAGTAGAGATCTCAGACCTGCTACTTTCAGGCCTGGCACACTTCGGCCTGGGGTGGGGGCGAGAGCAAAAGGCTAACAGGGTGTCCAAGAGAAAACAGCACTGAGCAGCCCTGGCTTACAATGCTGCACCGCAGGGCTGCAGGCAAGGAGGTGGCGGGGCTGAATCAGACCCAAGTGGGTGGAGGGGAGAGAAAGAAACACGCTGGGACTTGAAGTACATAGTTTCTGATATTTTTAAATTAGTAAAAGAAGCTGAACGTTTAAGACATTCCCGTATGTTTCAAGAACCGCAAGTACCATAAGAATTTGGGAATTTACATTATAAGAAGCCTGGCGCAAGGGTAAAAAATCTTCGCTGAAAGATTTTCCAGAAAAATGTGAACCTTCAGCTAAAACACGAACAGTACTATGAAAATGAAATTAACTGTTCTCCCCACTTTCAGAATAGAGCTGCAAGCTAAATTATTACACGAAACCACGTCACATGAATTGAGCATTTAGGAATTTACTAATACTTCTACACAAGTGAATTCTAGAAATAAAACTTTAAGCTCAAACTATGACTGTGAACTTTTTTTAAAAAAAACAGCTAAGATTTATAGCTGTAAACTTTAATGTGGAACAGTTTCCGTTGTTGTTACGAAAAAATTCAAGAGACGCAGAGATAATGATCATCGCAGGCAATGAAAATGATCACTTGCAGGCAATCCCGAGGCAGGCAAATTCAGAAGAAATCGGACATTTAGTATAATAATGCAACAACGTATTTTAATTGTGCATCAGAAATGATTCATCGAGGTTTGATTACTGCGTGCCATTTGGAATGACCAACTTTGCTGTCTCACCTGATCTTTGAATAGAATCAGAAATCTTTATGGGTTTCTTCCACAACAGGTATCACTTGTGTCCAGCCGTTTGCCTCTTGCTCCAAATTATCAACACGTAGGCGGAACGGAAGTCTGCTCGGAGCCATTCTTCAGGGCGCTGTTTGGCACGAACAGGCCGCAGGGAGGAAGGACAGAGTTCAGTCTACATGGATGCTGGAGGCTCTGCCCACAGAAAGCTGCAGGCTCAGCCAAGGGGGCGGGGCTTTCTGCCTCCCTGCTCCAGCTCAGAACCATTACAAAAGTTCGCACGCATCACGCCTTGTTTCAGCAATAAACTTAAGGGAACAGTCAACCTTGATCGTGATTTTCGAAGTTCAGTTCCAGCTACCTGGAAAGTGAGGCGCTGCACACCTGTGCTGGCAGGCAGAGCCTGTGTCTGGCGCCCGCCCCTGCATTCTGTAAGATGCCTGCCTTCCTTCCCAGACTGGCAGTCGTGGCCCAGGGCGGAGGAGCCCAGGACGCGAGCAGGGCAGATCTAGCGGCCCTCAAACCGATCGGCGCCAAGCTGCTGGATCTCAGTTCTGCTCTTAATGCCCAACAGCGCTGTTTCTCACCTCCCTGAGTTCTTGGGAGGCAGCACCGCCCTCCAGGAGATGCTGAGCGATGAAGAGGGGAGCACCTCCTTCGGCCCTGTCTAACACCCGACTGTGGGGAAAATCACCTGTTCCTGGCCACGTGGGGCACAGGGCTCTCAGAGCCACTGCCGGGGACGCCGGGGAAGGGAGGAGCGGGGGTTCTCTTTCAGCTTCTCCCCTCTCCCAGAGACTGAGAGGGCAGGGGCGGGAAGGGAGCCTGGCGTGCTGGTCTTGGGTCCAATCCAACGACAGAAGAAATGTGGAGCTGGCATCTGAGATCGAATCCCTTGGGAACCTGAAAACGGAAACATCACCGGTGGCAACACGATCTCCACAGGTTTCAGGGCAACCACTTTGCCTTCGGGTCGAGGTCTCCCGAATTGTGTGTGCCGTTCCCACGGCCTGGAGGGACAGGGGTGCTTCATCGCGGTGGACATTAAAGAATTGGTGGCAGGCTTGCTGCCTTTGCGGATCTGGGTAGAAGAGCCCGCTGGAGTTGCATTTTTCTGTGGAGGAGGTGCTTGTGTCATTAATGTCTCCGATTGATCGGTGGTTGCTTTAGCTTTACTTTCTCGACTCAGGAACTCAGCAATTTTCATTTGGATGCCATAATTATCATTAGTAGGAGCTTTAGGCAATGCTTTTGATTTCTTCTTTTTCTTCTCCCGTTTTGATGATTTTCCCAACTCAATCCCCTCCAGCAGACCCTTGGCTGCAGCCCGGGCCAAAACGTCCTTCACAGACAAGGCCTCAGATGGGTCCCGCTGCAAGGAAAGAGGCACTCGTTACCAGTTACCCAGAGGTGGCTCTTACTACACCTTAGAAATACCCCTCAGCGTTTCTGTGAAAATACAGTCTATTACTAAATAAATGGTTTTTAGGCCTAACATAGATCACATGCTTCAGCAAATCCCTTTTTAAAATTTCAACTCCATTTATAACCTTGGTAAAAAGAATCACATCACTACTTTCTTTTGTTAGGGAAGATGCCCCATATGATGAGCTGACTGATGTGGTAAGAGCAGAGGGCAGGACCAGAGCAGCACTCGGGAGAGGCATAAAGACCAGCCAGGGGAAGGCAGCAAAGGATTCTCTAGCACTCTCACTACTTCTAAGCACATGTGCCGAAATAGCACTCCCAGAGGCTGCCTTGGGGCTTTGCTGCTCCTCAGTTCCATAGCACAGGGGCGGGGTTTTTCTTGTCCTCACCTCTCTTGTTAAAACAGCAAGGAAGCAAGCATTGGTGATCTCAGATGGTTCCACTCTGAAAAACTTATCAGTGGACAAACGGACTTCTTCCATGGAGCACAGCGGCAGGACAGGAGGGCTGAGCCTGCAGCAGAGATGCACAGGTGTCAAACAGCACGTCTTCCTCCGCAAGAGGGGCGAGAACCATTTGCAACCATTTCACCCACCAATCATTTAAGTTAAAATGAAAAGTTATAATATTTCATATTAGTGCATAATTTATCATACTCCACAAGTTCTCCATCTGTAAATATGCTAGAATTACAAACATTTAACAAATTAAAAACTTTCCCAAAACGTTCACTAACTTGAACATTATCAAACTAAGTAAATTTGTGTAACGATCCCAAACATCCAACTCCAAATGTCTTACTTTTCCACATTGCCAAATGGCAAAATATATCCTTTCTTCTTTTGGGTTATTCTTTACACAACTACAGTATAAAAACATAATGTATCATTTAAACTGCATGATTCTTCCAATCAGTCTCTAAGCACTTTGGGGCGTTAATGAATGAGCTATAAACTGTTCAAGAAAGCACATAACAAACAAAAGGGTTCAGATCCAAAACAGATCCCTAAAGCTGGGTGTGATGGTGCACACCTGTAATCCCAACACTGAGGCAGGAGGATCTTTGAGTTCGAGACCAGCCTGGGCTACACAGTAAGCCCAAGGCCAGCCTGAACCACACAGCAAGACCCTCTCTTAAAAAGAACAAACCAAAAAAAAAAAAAAAAAAAAAAAAAAAAAAAAAAAACTGGTTGGAAGACAACATTATGTATTATAATAAATACTGTGAAATTCATAGTACTTTGTTAAGTGAAAATCTGTATCACTTGTGATTTTTTAATTCTAATTTGTACTCTTTAAAAAAAAAAAAACAAAAACGGTGTGTTCAAAGTTAGGGAAAATGTTTTTTGTTTTTTTTTTCCCCCCCGCTGAGGCATTTTATTTGTATGTTTTACATCCTTAGAAAAAGAATCCCAGGATTTTTCCTCCTGTTGTTCTCATCATGCTTCTTCATGATCCATGATGCCAGCTGAGGTCGTCAATACAATGAAACCAAACTGACGAGATGGGAGCAGGTTATTCTGCCATTTTTCCAGGTCTTTCAGCTGTACATCAAACCTGGGGCTGATCACACCACACTTGTTTCACCTGCCTGTGAGGTTGACAACAATTTTTCCAGCCCTGTGATCATCAATGATTTCAAATTCACTAATGTAACCATGCTTAATTATCTCAGTTAGAAACTGGACAATGACTTTGGAGCATGGTCTAATGAGGACCTGGCGTTTGCCTCTCTTTTCAGCATTGTTTATGTTCTTGAGAGCATCAGCCAAGACATTCATGTGCACTATTATGGTGGCACAGAAAGATGGCGGAAAGAGGCAGGGAAAATGTTTTGAGGGTGATTCATGAAATGTGTTTCACTGTGGCTTGGCATTCACTGTATTTTTTAAACTCATATCTTGGCGCCAGGGAAATAGCTCAGTAAAATAAGCGCTTGCATGTCAAGTGCAAGGTCCTGAGTTTAATCCCTGGTACCACAAAAAATAAATGAAAATAAAATAAAATAAAATCATATCTTGTTTGTCAACTACAGCAACTTCTGTCACATCAGTGTGTCCTCCACCTACCTTGGTCACCAGACACAGTTCATCTCCAAAGTCAAAATTACTTTCAAAAGATTTTCAATCAATTTAAGACATTAAGGCTGCACAACAACACAATTAATTGCATGAAAGGACTGCAGAACTATTTCTGAAAGTGGTAAGGATGATGAGAAAATGTCTGAGGCAAGGAGGAAGATTCTGGGGAGGATTCATGGCAATGTGTCTTTTACTATAATAAATTAAAAATTTAAAACATTCACAGCTGGGCATGGTGGTGCACATGTGTGTGCAGCACTTGGGAGGCTGAAGTAGGACTACAAGTTCAAGGCCAGCCTGCACTACACAGCAAGACCCTCTCTTAAAAAGAACAAACCAAAAAAAAAAAAACAAAAAAAAAAACCCTTTAATCATTCACATGTTTACAATAAAAATTTGGTTTTAAAATTTAATTTCTCATTTAATAATAATTTATGAATAAGTGATTCAAATATTCTTACATTCCCTTGCTTTTAGGATTAAAACATTTAATAAGTCAACGCAATTAAATAGTAGTCCTTGTGAATTAAAGTAATCAGGAAAGCTTTAAAAAACATTTTGTCTAGTCTGAAATTTAAAACCAACTTGAACTTATATATATTCATTGCTTGCCTACACAATGCAAAGTACATGGAAAAAATTAATTCTCTTGAAGAGTGTACAGTTTATTTGAGACCAATCAGCTTACAGTAGTTTGAAGACCAAATGTGAGTGTGGACTGGCTATGAGCACAGATGCGTGCAATTAATTCTGGCCCTGGGAGCCGGCAGACACGAGGACTTCATGGTGTAAGGGGCACTGATGCTATTCCCTGAAGAACAAATGGGTTTCAAATAAGGCAGACGGGGCAATTTTGGACTGGAAACATGGAGAAAGCTTAAGAGTCATAAAAACATACTCCACCACAGCAAGGGTGTCATGTGGCCCCAGCATTGGGTAAGGAGAGGTGGAGGTCCCTTAGGAAGGGGGCAGACACACAGGTACGACCACGATGCTGGCTGATGCTGGTGCTAAATATATCGATAATGGCCATGGTGGTGGATTTAACCAAAGTAAAATCATCAACCTCATAGCCAGCCAACAATGCCCGAGGCCTATTCTTACAGGCTGAGCATCTGTCCTCCCCGAATCTAAAATCTGATATGCTCCCAAATCCAAACGTTTTGGAGCGTGATGGGATGCCACAAGTAGTAAGTTCCACATTTGACCATGTAATGGGTCACAGTCAAGTAACAGACCCACTAAAAAGATATAAAGTTACTGTCAGGCATGTGCTGTACGTGCACATGAAACATAATTGAGTTTTGTTTATAGACTTGGGCCTTCTCCACAAAATACCTTTAGATTATATGCAACTATTCCAAAATCCATAAAATTATAAAATTTGAAATACTTCTAATCCTATGTCATTTTGTTTTATTTTTGCTTTGGTGGTACCAGGGATCAAACTTAGGACCTTGTGCTTGCCAGGCATGATCCAATGTATTTTGAATAAGGGATACATAGCCTGTATGTTTGTTCTCTACACAAGAAGAAACTAATTTTAAAAATTTATCCATTTATCTATAAGTACAAGGTCCTGAGTTCAATTTCTGATACCAAAAAAGACTATTATTTATTTAACTATACATATATATGCTGCCTATTGAAATGAAACTATGAATCCATAATTAAGATTAGCCAAGTTACCATCCAGAAAGCCCTTACAAAATGATTTCCAGGCCCTTGTTCACAGCCTACTTCCTTCTCTCTTTTTGTTAATCACATGGTGTACTTTCTCTTTTTTTATTTCTCAAGAGTTTACAGAGCAATTTTTAAAGTGAGTTTTGAGTCCCCAGCACCACTGTGTCAGTGAGGGAAGGGGGCTCTGTAGCGAAAGGTCACCAGCGTGCACTCCCTGCCCGCCCGCATCGCCCCAGCTGGAATTGCTGTCCTCCGGCGGGAGGCAGTCAAAGTAGTTCTTTTGAGGACAAGGTGGGGAGCATAGAGGACCGCAGCTGGGCAGTCAAGAGATTTCCA